AATGAACCGCAGGGAAGAATGCCTCATTATCACGCGTGATGTAGGGCAGTATATAAGACTGCTATTCTGATGAGTGGGGTACATTATACTTCCATGTGATTTCTGTGCGGTTGGTCTCTACGTGACATACTTAGTGGAGACCTCATAGAAAGCGGTGAGTGTGCAAAGCTGTGTTCAATGTGATTGAAATCTTGGTTTAGAGTTTCTTTGTTTGGTTATGGAGGCGTCTGGCCAAGTAGATTGCTGTCAACTTGACCTTTCCAGGCTCTGAGGAAGGCGAAATCCGCCGAAACGTCAGCTCATTTGTGAATAAAGAATAATAACACCTCGCGTTTGCTCAACAAAAATACGAAGAATTCTGTGGTTGTATTTCGCTTAGTAACCTGCCATGAAAATTATAGAAGGCAGAAAACAAAACGTTAAACATTGACGAATTTACAATCCAGTGCTGAGGTTGGTAGAAAGCCGTTCTTGGAAAGTGAAAAAACTCGCACCAGGAATGGTTTTTGGAAAATATCAAGTGTAGAATATAGTTGTTTAGTACTAAATCTGATATACAAGCTTGGAAAAACTACCGATTAAATGCAAAAAGTGTTTAAAAACAATGTTTTTTCGATAAATCGATAGATAGATATCGATAAAAGATCGATAGAAATAGCTGAGAGACAGGCGAAACGAAGGACCCGCATGGTGTGGTGGTGAACGCGTTACTCCCCGGAAAGGACAATAGCGCGTTCGTTCACCACCATAGACACCTGCGGTCCAGAGTTTTGCAAATATCTCAGCAACGTTGTAGTGTTTAAAAAGTACTCTGCTTTAGAAGAGACAGCAAAAAGTAATGACTTACATAGGAACTTTGCCAGTCTGACCCAACATGCTATAGTTACGGATAAGCGGGTTTTTTTTTTTACTGAAAGTAGTGCCGTCAGGCGACATTCTCGTCAGAAGAATTTTTCTCCTCTCTGTCGCAGCCAATAGTGGTCGATTTAATCTTACTGTTGCTGATTGGTAAACAAGTAACTTTTCAAGATCGGAGTCACATCGAGCTTTAGTTCCAGATGGCGTAATCACCCAAATAAGTTAAGCCGCTCAGTGTGGAGTGATTGTATTTCCCTTTTTCCAGCTCCTTTTTTTCCACTCTGGTGGTCTTCAAACAGCAATGAAGTATTTATGCTAGCCCTACTTTTAAAAATCTCTTATACCATGCTTCTTTAACTGATTTTGTTAGCATGAAAAGGTTTATCCTATCCTTTTACCGAAACTTTCATATCCAACCGGGCCAGATGAGTAACCTAACTGATTTTGGTTCATCTCCATCAACTTGGCCCTTATCAAGCACCTGCAGTTATCGTTATCCGTTTTACCGTTGTGGGCGGTTTTTTAATGCGAGAATTTGTTGAGAACTCTGCTGAATGTTGATGAAGAGAAATGGTAACAAAAACTACTTTCTAAATTGATTTCTGAAGCTCGCACTTACACATCGCATTTTTATCATCTAAATCTTGAATCAGCTTTTCTTGTATTGTTTTATCTTCATCTTGTTCTGTGATAGTATAAGTAGAAGAGGAATGAGTACGAGTTTTGAAGATTCTTTCAGTTCTGCATCTGCCTCAATAGTTCTGCTCTTTACACGAATGGTTTGATATACAGTCGTCGGTCGTCTCGGTGTCATGAAGGTCGCTACAGTCCAGGACGTCAAAGTTAGCGTAGCTGAAGTGTGCGAAGTAGGAAATTTTCTATTGTTTCTAAAGACTGGCTTGTTGTGCAATTTCTGTTCGCTTTGAAATCATGTTTAAATCGGTGCTCTGTTTGGCGCTACAAACTTATTTCCGTTGTATCGAATCGTTCGACGACTGCTGTACCGTTTTCATAAAATGAAAGAAAATAAAAAAATTTACCAGTTAGGATAAATTTGGGTTTACAAGGTAAGTTCTCAAGACCGACTTTTTGTTCAACTCGGCACTGATCACTGATTAGGTGTTTTCGTAAGCACACACGGGGTGTTTAGTATAGTCCTTATTCATAGAAACCAGCCCTTCTGTTGATTTCGCCTTCCTGAGCGTATCGACAGGTGAAGTCGGCCGGAACACAGTCAGCCAAATACCTCCATAGCTCCAACAGAAAAATCGCTAAATTTATATTTCAGTCGAATTCGAAATGAAACAGCTTCTCTGCATACTGTTTCCTACGAGTCTTGCACTGAGAATTCCACGTAGAGACCAACCGCACAGAATTCACGCGGATAGATGATGAGCAAAACTCACGTTAAAATAACAGTTTGAAATCTTGTGTGAGATCAGGCGAGATAACGAGACATTCCGCCTTGTATTTTGTATTTTTATTTGTTGCGCGTTGACGCTTTGGATTCCTGTGCGAGCATTGTAACTTCTAGTTCAAAAATTTTCCCGTTGTCTCTCTCTCCTATGCGCACCTAATGGAGTGTTTTATTTAGCTTTACGTTTACCGACTAGGTGTTCTTCTAAACACTTCCGGAGTGGTCTACCCATTTCGCCAATATACTGCTTCACGCACGCTTTATATAAACTGTACCTAAACTCGTACAATCCCCATCGCTATTGTTAGGACGTGTTATGCAATTTTCCGTTGTAGGTGGTCATACAGCTAGATGGTTACGAATTAGCTGGCGTCTGAGGGTGTTTCGTGGTATTTTGATCACTACTAACGAATTTTCTAGACTGGTCCTTTCTAAATAATATGTTATTGCTGAAATTATTTCATTGGAAATAAATAGCAGAGTGAACAAGACTTTATTCTCGCCAGAGTTATCGTTTGAATGTGTAGTTTCTTCTCTACACTTGTTCAGAAGAGGTAGGGTTAACAGAGAGAACTACAGTTGCGAACACCTGAATGTTTTTGGTTTTTCTACGTCATGCGCGGCGTCCTAACGGTGTCTACTGATGGAGTCCTTCGACGTTACTACCCTTTATACAGACATGTTGAATGACTCCACTATGAAAGCCATTCTCGAAGTCATTACAGAACCGGAAGGAACAAGAGACATGCACAGCTTATCGACTCAACACCTGATGGTCCTCTAAAGGGAGTGCCTAAAGTGCTCAAGCTTTAGATCGTCCGAACAACGAGTGCCTCCAAGCTTTGCCGTTGTACTTATTTCTAGTGTGTAAGTATTAGTAGTCGATCTCCGACCATTACTGTACTGCAGAAACATAGTTGCTTTGTCATTTGCTGCACACGAGGGGAATTACACAAATGTTTCGAGTTATTGAATGAGCAGTTGAAGTGCACTAAGTTTAGTAACAGAAAGGTTGCTCCCATTTCTAAACATTCGAATTAGTCTATCCTATAACGGCTGCGTGAGGAAGTGGTATCGAAAATAAAGCAGCAAAGATATACTGGTTCATTAATTATCCTTTCACCTCTCACAAAAAAAAGACCCTGTAAGGATGATGGTTCGAACAGCCGTCATTGTGCGCACAGGAAGAGAGCGAAATGAAGATTCCCTGAAATTAGCGCCACAAATAGCCATTTCCAATGGCTATGGAAATGCAGTTTGGGCGTGTGTGGTGCAATGGTCGGAGACGCCCTGCAATACAAACGTGGACTCGATCCCCGCGCCCATGGCCCACCAAACCTTCGTTCCTTCGGAGTCGACACATTGGCACCAGACTTTTTTGGGAGGATAGCAGCACTGGCCCTCTATCCTTTATGCAACTGTATCTCATCGGGATAAATGTAGAAGAGGAAGTACGCCTTAGAACAATAATTCCAGCGCAAAAATGGTCCCGTTTATCCTGCCTTTAACTCTCAGCGAAATAGTTGCAGCTACAAAACGTAACTTAAAAAGGTTGGTCTTGAGAAATCGGTATTAGTGATTGAATTACCACCGAACGCTCTAGGACGGCAGCTAGTTCGTAAGCGTTTTTACGACCGTCTTTGCGCGACACAAAATTGCATTATTTGCCTTAACGGGAGAGATGGTGGTAGCATGAGTTCGGGTTCAGTGTACGTCATCTCATGTAATGCGTCTGGGGACGAACACACTGCCGAAACAGGTAAGCCATCATGCGTTCGTGTAAAGGAACACCTAGATAGTAAGTGTAGAGCTAAACAAAGCGCTCCACTAGGTGGGCACTGGGTACAAACGCGTAACGGTGGAGATTTTGAAGCGGAAGTGACAATTCTCACGAACAAGGGAATCGAAAACTTCGGCTCACAAAACTCTCGGGATATTATGGATAAATTTTAAGTGTTCAAAATCACCACCGGGAGGTAATGTCTTGTTATCACGCGTGGTCTTATAACCTAACTGATATTTTGATGCGAGAGAAGCGCACTATCCATCTATTTGCAAACTCCTTGCGGTTGGTCTCTACGTGCAATACTCAGTTGAAGGGTCGTAGAAAGCGGTGAATGTGCGAATATGCTATTTTATTTCCAATGCGATTGATGTCTTGGTTTTATATTTTCTCTGTTTTCATTATAGAGGAGTTTGGGTGATTAGATCGTAATCAACTTGTCATTTTATGACTCTTTACCTGTCACCTGTCACCTGTAGTCCCATTGATCGTCAAGTGACTCGAGCGTGCGCCAGTAAATCTCGTTTCTTTTACTGTGTTTACCTTTTTGATACTCACGTATGTCTTGCTGAGCTCTGAACTTGAGCGCTGGGTATACTCACAGGTAGTTTGCCAGTTTCTCCCAAAGTAGACATGGAGCTTATTTGTTGGAGGCGACTTCTAACCGCTTCCCATATACTTCTCTGTCACTTGATTGCAGGCTTTTGTCCGAATTAACTCGTATAATACGATCCGCTTAATCGAGAACGCACTCATACACGCATGCATGAATATGCCTAGCAAATACAGAAAGTATGTGCCAAATCAGTACATCAGAAACAAGGAGCCCATCCCCTCGATCCACATGCGTCTCAAGGAAGCAGTGATCGTTTTTAGTCCGCGATTAACCCCCTATCCGCCACCTGGGAACCCCCACGTAGCCTCGCGACTGAACGGCTCGATATTCCTCATATGAGGGAAATCCGTGTGATGCTGACTGTTTACAAGGTGGAATTCACCCTAGACGTCATCTTTTGTGAAAGAAGTGCCTAAGATTGTTTTTCGAAGTTAAGTGTCAAAAGTTTTGTTTATGTATTCTGCAAGATTATTAGCAAAGAATATGGTGGTTTAATGGAAGATAAACAATCTCTTGAGCAGTAATCTTGCATCTGAAGGTACGTGGTACTGGACTGGAAGCTCATGAACTACTCTCACTAGCCGCGGCAGCTGCTGATGTTTTACCTCCGTGTCCTAGAGGAACTGTGTTTGATACCGAGAACGTATTTATTTGCAGCAAAGGAAATGTGGAGGTTAGCACCAGCAAGCTTATTTTTCGCTTCTCCCTTGTTTCGCTGTTGTTTTGTTAGTGTGGTCACCGTGTCACTACTCTTTTCCAAGCCTCTCAGTGTTGGAACGGTTATCGCGATAGCGAGTAAAAAGAGACCGAAAGAAACTTTCTTCGGTGTGTAAACATGTAATCTACCTCTGCATGACACTGAAGCACTATTTTCAAACCATAATTTGAAGAAACTTTCGAAATAAACTTAGATGTTACTATTTTAACTTATTATTTAGTGCCTACTCTTTTTAGCGGCAGGGTATACATTGCGAAATATAACTTCAATGATGTCGAGATATTTGCAAAACTCCGGACCGCAGGTGTATGCGGTGGGGAACGAACGCGCGCTGTTGTCCTTACCGGGGAGCAGCGCGTTCACCACCACACCATGCGGGTCCTTCGTTTCGCCTGTCTCTCAGCTAGTTCTATCGATCTTTGCCACAGCATTCACCCGTCAGCGGGGTTGATCTGGAGAGCCCAATTGGGCAAGGAACCCAGTTAAACTGAGGCCGCACTTATAGTCACAATTTTAACTTATTATTTACTGCCTACTCTTTTTAGCGGCAGGGTATACATTGCCGATTTGCCAACTTCTTCTTGTTTTTTATCGTGAGAACCACCACACCGTCGTCACGGTTTTATTCCATTCTTAATAAAAAAAGATATTTCTACTAGAATGAGAAAAGGCTATTAATAAATAAACGGATAGAGTTCTCGACTTTGATCTATCACTGACATATGCACCATGCATTGGACTACACTAAGCATCGTTGGAGGTGACTAAATGCATATCTGGAATTTACAATAACTTGCGCTGGCCTACTGATGTGTCGAGCGAGTGCTGCTATCTTCCCAGACAGATCTGGTACCAATTTGCCAACTCCGGAGAGATGGAGAGCTTGGTGAACTTGGGGTGCGGGGATCGATCCCATATGTATTGTGGGCTCCTCCGACTACTGCGCTACGCGCGCCCTATACGGGGCTGTTAATATTAGGAGAAAAATTGTGTCGACAGGCTTATTCTTATTTTTGCTTGACCCTCCACAGAAATCGATGTTGACTAATTACCTACTTGGATATTTGAATACTTGGACGGTCGGTCTTCACTTGCTGTGCGGATCCCAGCATATACAGCATTCGTTCCTTTCTCTCGCAATCATAGTCCATGGTGGTGGTCTTGTTCGAGCACGGTAGCGCTTCTGAATCTCATACCATGATCTTGAAAACAAGTGCAGCTGAGGGCACAGCTGGTTAACTTTGTTTATGAACACGTCCGCCCAACGTGTAGGTGGCCGTTATAGGGACGCTTGCATTCTCTTGGAATCCACTCTACTGTTCTTTTCGTTCATCTGTCGTCCGTCCTTCTAATTATGTGACCGGTCCATCTATGTTTATCTATCAATGGATATTCTCTTGGATTCCGAAGATGTGACATTTCGAAGGTCAGAGCCTCGTATTCCGGCTAGATATTGAGAGTGCCGGTTATATTTCAGAAGACATCGCTCAAGCGCTCTGTGAGTAGTGCGAAGCATTCTTGACGTGGTTGAAGTGAAGTCTCTACCTACGTCTCCGCGGCATAACACAGCGCTGGGAGGACCGTAGAATCGAAGAGATGAGCGCAGATTTTCGTTTCCTTCAAGTTGGTCGGTGGCTTCTTTGAGAGACTCGAATGCGGTCCAAGCTGCTATCTTTCTTCTATCAAGTTTCTCTCTTATGTTGTTTTCCACGTTCATTGACCGCTCAAGGTATACGTGCGAGGTGGTCTCTGCAATGAGAGAAACCATCCAATTCAATTTTTTCGCCTTCGCACCATGGGTTTCTCATGAACTGGGTTTTTTTCCATTTATGCGAAGTCCGATCTTTCTCCCTCTTCTTTGATCTCTTTGATCACCACCTCTGCTTTGCTAGTACTTCTTGAGAAGGTAACAATGTCGTCGGCAAAACGAGGGTTTTGTAGGAATTTTCCATCAATACGTATGCTTTTCTCATCCCAATCGAGTGACTTCATTATCCTCTGCAGTGCGGCACTGAACAGCTTTGGCGATGTTGTGTCGCTCTGTCGAACCCCTTTTCCTATAGGTATGGTAAGAGGTGGATGGAGAAGCTGTATTTTCGTAGTGCAGTTTCAACAGCAGTCGGGCAGAATTCTTATGTAGGATGGGTCCACTGCTTGGTCGACGAGCGCTGGTAGGATGGCATTCGTTTCGACACTGTCAAACGCTTTTCCATAGTCGACAAAGGTTAGGACGGCAGGCAGGTGGCATTCCTGATAAACTTTGGTCTCCTTTCTTGGGCAGGATGACCGTGCACGACGTCCTCCACTGGTCTGGGATTTTTTCCTTTTGAAGGTAGCCTGTCATATGATTTGCAAGAAGTATATTTAATTGTGGCCTCCGGCTCTAAGCAAATCGGCTGTGATATTATTGGGTCCTGGAGCTGTGCCTCTTTTCATGCTTTCTGTCGCAACTCGATCTTCGACGGAAGAATTCCAGGTGCTTTTTCTCCAGCGGGGATGTTGTGGTTCGGGACGGGGCTTGTGGAACGGAAAAAGTTGGTGTAGAACGTTTCCGCTATTAATTCCATATCATGGCGGGAAATTTTGACGATCCTATCTTCGTTCATCAAGGTTGAGAGCGGAATATTATAATCACAGAAGTTTCGACGACATTTTTTCAGACTGCTTCTTTTCTCTGCTGCTTCCAGTACTTTTTTCTGTTTATACTATTGTAGATCTTCCTGCAATGCTCTTCTGCAGCTGGCCTTTATTACTAGCCATGTTAAAAGTGTTGCAGTTGGACCAAGCTTCAGTTTCCATCCCTTTTCGAGCAACTCAGTAGTAATGAAGATGTAATCTGGTCTTCTTGGTTGAGGAACTGAGGCGCATTCGGTACAGCTTTTCAGTTCTTCGACAAGTAGCTCGCAGTCCTCGGTCGGGTCTTCTTTATTCTGCCAATCACGTTTGGATAGGACTTCGTTCATATTCTTCTCGTCGTATACAACTAGACTTTCCTCGTGGCCGATGAAGAGAGTTCTTTTTCAGCTTGAGGCTGAATCGAATCTTCGCGCCAAAAAGGTGGTGATCGGAACCAGTACAGAATGACGGGACTACCGATGTCTCAAATAGACCCCTTCTTCTGTTTGTCAGAATGTGGTCGATTTCCGCATGAGTCACAGCGTTGGGAGACTCCCATGTTCAGTGGCGGCTTTCTTTTCTGGAAAAACGAGTTTCCATGGAAGAGACGTGCTGCTGACAGGAATCCTGCGAGACGGTTCCCATTCTCATTTCTTTTTTCTAATCCAAAATTTCCGATATTCGCTCTCGTTGGCCTTTCCTATTTTGGCGTTGAAGTCTCCAAGAACAAATTTATGATATGCTTTATCATTGCGGATGACTTCGTCAAACTGGTAGTAGAACGCATTTAATTCGTACTCATCAGCTGCGTCGATCGGTAAGCAGCATTTGATGATAGTGTTCTTCTTGTGACGCAACAGTTGAAGATGGAGGACGGCTATGCGAGGGAAAAGGATCACGTATGAGTCGACAAGATGGACAATGGACGGGCGGACGACAATTGCTACGCCACCGACATTTTTTGACGGGACCTTTTCTCTACGAATCCTAAGGGTCCCGTCGTTTAGTTGGCGTATGTCGGTTTTCTTGGTTTTTGTTTCTTGTAATGCGATCACATGAAATTGAATGCGATCTGCTGCTACAAGAAGGACGTGAAGATCGGCGTCTGTGGGGAGTGTTTTGGTATTATATGTGCATAGTAAGAAACATTTCCCATGGCGTGTCCTGTTCCAATGACATCCTGCGTAGCCGGAGATTTTCTGGCCTCTCACCGGTCGTCTCACCGCCTGATGTCATAGACGGGAGCACCCAGTGTGCGGGGTACTGAGGCTGGCCTACTGCTAGTCATGCAACTGGTCCTCCCTGGAGTCCTGACGTAACCTTGCAAGGGCGTATCCAGGTCCTCACCACGATGTGGATCAGAGGGTGGTGTGTTTTCGGCGACGAATCCTTCGCTCGGTTTTCCTGCTTGTTGATTTGGAGAGATGTTAAAACTGAAATCGGAAGCGAAAGTAGGAATGTAAAGTAACCGACCGCTCAAGGACGATGTAGAAGCCGAAAGATCGTTGATCAGTTACCCATTAATACTGTTCTTATTAGCCTTATCTGTTTCTTAGGCATTCGCACCGTTATGGACTTTTTCTCGAGAGTAGTTAAGGATTTTTCACGAATTCCTTTTTCAGATTCACACTATATCTCAGTCGAAGGCTGATCCATGCTTCATACCACCAGAGTGGTCCAACAATGAAGATGACCCATGTGCAGCTGCCGTCTATTGCATGGGAGCTGGTTTGTGGATTTTCCACACTAGATTTCCGTGTTTTGTAAGCATGTTGAGAACGGTACCTTGCTGAGACTTGGATATAACAGCAATTTGTGGTCATGTTCCAGGTTTAGCGTACCTACTCTTTTTTCTGATTGATGATTTCAAACGCCTGTTGAAGGATATCCTTTCGTGATACTTTTGGCAAATGTGAATGTTAATTTCTACTGAAAGTTGTGGAATCAACATTTTTCGTTTAACTTTTGCTGAAGAAGGATTTCTAGTAGGATGTCTTTGTTAACTGAGGCAAGTATTTGACCGACACATCCATAATGAGTTGTATTTGAATCACAAAAGCAGAGAATAGTTTGATTTTCCAGTTTTAGAGAAACATATATTATCAGCTTCTAGTGGACCTTAGCAGCCCTTTCACGATATTGTGTCATTGGAGCGCAACTGAGAAGCGCATTGAAATGAGGATATGCGGTCTGTGAGTCCGCATGGAAAGCACGGCGCACCGGTTTCTTGAGATTATCGTTTTATTGTTCGGTTCCCACGGATAGTCCCCGTGTCTCTGTGACTTTTACGTATCCGATATGATATATTTATTTATCTGATCTTATAAACTGATCTTCTTAAGCTGACGCGAGGTTGGTACAGATCTTCGTTGTCGTTGTCGTTGTTTTTGATGTTATCGATCGATGGCTGACGTTTCGGCGACTTCGCCTTCCTCAGAGCCTGGACGTACTTTATGTTAGAATACTTTTTATTATTCGGTGGAAAAGAAGGTTGAAGTATTAATGAAGATCAAACTTTCAAATAGACGCCATATTGAACAGAAAGACCACTCACCGTGATGTTACGTGCGGGACTGGCCCACACGTAGTTCACGTGGAGCCGCGAGCAAGGCACACCCTGGGGTCAAAATATCATTTTCAAATAGGGCGCCAGGTCACGCGTGATAGTGAGGCATTCGTCCTTCCGGTTCCTCTTTGGATTTTTGAAATTTATCCAAAACGCCTCAAGAGTTTTGCGCGTGGATGTTTTTATTCCTGCGCTCGGATCCATGCAGTCACTTCAAAATCATCGCCGTTGTGCATTTGTGCCCTATGCGTACCTAGTGGGGTGTTTAAACGGATTTTAGCTTTCCCATCTAGATGTTCTTTTATGCGGACACAAAGTGGTCTACCTGTTTCCCCAATATATTCCTCGCCGCATGCATTACATGAGATCAAGTATATTACACCTAAACTCATACAATCCCCCTCTCCCGTTAGGATCGTGAAGGTGTTATGTGATCAAAAAGCAATATATCTACGTGAAAATATTGCGCTAGAAGCAGTTTTGGTCAGCCATGTGCTCTGAATAGTTGTTAGAATACAAGAGGTTCAGCTTTACCACTACCTTGTCCACTTTCGCATGGCTGGTCCACTGAACGACACCGAACGGGGTGTCACTGGAGTGCACTCAAGATGCGCGTTGAAATGAACGCGCATGGTCGTGAGAGGGTTAATTTAAATAAAACCGATGACATACACGAATCTTCTCCAATTGCTCACATGATAAATTTCTGCTTTTCTGGAGCTTACAAATCTTTTTCTCTCAATTTTTTCGTCAATGCTTATAAACCGAAACGATTTCACAAGCGGGTTTTTTTGCTGTGGTATCTAGTAATGTTTCCAGATACGTTCTTAGTATCATTCATTGTCTCTTTCGCATGGAATCTTTTTCATCAACCGTCTTTTCCTTTGTACTCTAGTTTTGAGAAGGAAAAATGGAGCTGAACGGTAAGCGCTGAGGTCAGAAAGTGTGTTAAAAATTGAAGCCAGATATCTCTCTGGTTTTCGATCTGTGCCGTTGACCTTTGGAAGTGTTTTATCTCGCAAACTTTCGTAAAATTCCAACAATTTTTAAAATTTCAATAGTTATGTAGTTTTTTTCTTTGTGGTAGTAACATTTCAACACGTTGGTTTACCGATACACATTTTTTCCTTTTAGTTCTAAGAGCCACTGGTGCTGAACAAGCAGCTGACGTCGATCTGTTTTCTCTTGTCAACATTCTCACTGTGGCCATAGTTGGTACCAGACCCACCGCTCATCGAATGGGTCTCATGGCAAAGTAGGTTTCTAACATTCAGCTCTCATGCACTTAGAGCGCCTCACCAAGTCATTTGTTTCCCACAGGACTTCTAAGTTGTTTAGTTGTTATAAATAGCACTACGGTTTCAATGAGCTGGGTGAATTTAAAACCTAGTGCCCTAGTGCTTACTGGCTGTTCACTTTATACATAAAAAATTAATTTTCTTAGAAATCAGCTTCGTGGTCGCGATGTGAAAACGTGTCTAATCACGATTTATGAGGAAATCATGGGTGATGAAGAGAGCAACCAGGCGAGTTACTTTTTACGATATATTACGGTTTGATTTTTTTAGGATTAGTTTTGTTTTTTTGTTAGTTAAAGGATAAAGGATAAAGCTCTTGGCGTTGACCAATCCCTAAAGAATGCACCATGCATTCGACTTTATCAAGTATCGTTGGAGCTGATTTAATGCATATTTGCTTACAATGACTCGCGGTGGCCCACCAATGTATCGAGCCAGTGCTGCTGTCCTCCCAGACAAGTCTGGTTCCAGTTTGCTGATCTCGGAGGGATGGAGGGCTTGGTTCGCCTGGGTGGATCGACCCTGTGTGTGTTGCAGGGCTCCTCCGACCACTGCGCTGCACGCGCTTCAAAACGTGTTTTGTTACATGCAATGTGGTTTTATGGCTTAGTTGGCTATTCTATCTTCTTGACGTCTGTTGTGGAGTTTTCCTAGTTTCTCTGAATAATGTAAGTGTTTCTGTAAATGTGCTTTTATTGCAAATCCTTATTTGATTTCAGCTGGAAGATGGTAACTACTCGCTGGAGGAAGACGATGATATCGGTGCACTTCTGGGAGATCCACCAAATGGTCATGTTGTCAATAAAGTAGGATTACCGACGGTAACCGTTACGGGTACCTCACAGATCTATGTGAAAAAGGCTGTTGATTATATTGACGAGGATGACGATATTCAATCTCGAGGTTTTTTCTAACCTCTCTTTTCTTTGAATCAAGTGTTTGTGCCACATGGGTTTTATTAAAGGGCATTCCGTCTCAACGTCTTCTTCTGGTCGTAGTAGTCAGCAGAAGAAGTCGTCGTCATTCTTATCTGGTCATGCATTGATGTCTGAAAGGGGTAAACTTTATCTGAGTTTATGATCCTTAAAGTTATTTAGTGTTTCCAAGTACCACTGAAGTTTTAAAAATTTATGGAATCTAGTTTCTAATACGAACTTTTTCTCTTGGATTTTCGAACTTTTGTTCATTATGAGTCGTAGCCTCTTTTTTTGTTGGTGAGTCCATTCAATTTGAGATCAATGAAGACCTCCTTTAGTAACTCCAGCTGTCATACACCATGGCTCTATGGGATATATCGGCAGTCCTACAGGAAATAGCACTCATTTGGACGAGACGTATATCGAAGAACACTCAGTAGATCTCGACGGCTCGTTTGAAAAGTTTGTTTTGTGTTAAATGTGTTTCTGTAGGTTTGGAAGAAGTTCTACGTTGCCCCACACCGATCTGTTCTGCAGGCAACCAGAGACGAATACGACGGATTCCACAACGCTAACGGACAATGAGACCAATGGCCCATTGGGAAAAGTTTCGTCGCCATTTGAGGAGGACAATCCATGTGATGGAGAAAGGGTGTATGAAAGGGATAACTTTGTGGATCGGAAGGTTAAGCGTTCGGAGATAGATTGTTTTATAACACAAAGCATCCTAATGTATGAATTACTTTTGCGCTTTTTCGAAAACGATAGATAAGGTTCGTTTCTTAAAAACGAGTTTCATGTCTTGCCGAGTTTTTTCCGCATATACCTACTTAAAGTAGACATTTCAGTGTTGATGAACTTTTCTGTTCTTACAAAGTTAGTAGAAGTCGTTTCGAACGCTGTAACATTTAATTCTTTAGTTGTCTTCGAACAAGAAGAGAAAAACTCTACAGTCTTTGCATGACGTAGCCTACAACTTTGCAACATCACAAGAATCGGAAGTGGATCTCGAAAAACCCAAGCATCGTGTAGCTCATCCACCTGTCCAGCATAAGTCCGTTTCACCTTCTAGACATAAATGTTCTGGCTTTTCGTTATTAATTTTGACTTATGGTCTTCATTATAGGTTTTCATCTTCTGATGAAGATATTGTGCAAGCTCGTATTGATGATGAAATCGAGGTGCCTAGCTTACGAAAAACTAGTTATTTTGATGATATAGGTAATGAGTTTTGTCTACAATTGACCCTGTTCTGTTCACAAACCAAGAGACAATCAAGAAGTTATAGTTGGGGACGAGCAAAATGAGTCACAAAGATTAGAAGTGGATAGCAGATTGAAACATCCGAGCCAATTGGAGCAAGAGCATGCAACTAGTGAAATAAGCTCACCACATAGTGCTTTACATGCTGAAGGTAAACAAGATGCTGAAATAGGTTTCATCAGCTTCAAGACGTAGTAGTTCGATTTTTTTTCTAGATTCGTCTCTTTCACGCTCGAAATTAGTTGCTGTCCCACCTTTGTCTGGAGATCGAGATGCTTCCAGTGAACGTGAAGATCTTGACCGAACACATGTTGATGCTGTGGTGATTACGGTAAGTGTTTTTTCATTTTGGATGAAGGAGGATAGTGTAACTTCATACATTTCTGGTTCAAATACCACTATCTAAATAAGTAGTCCTAGTGTTAACCTTTAATTTACTGCCTTTTCAAAGAACTATGGTGACGATTTGTAGCTATAATGCACGTGCATTTGCATCCGAGTCCTCAATAGAAGACTTGCTCATGCAAGCAAGAAGGATAAAGAACAACGTCATCGACCTGGCGGAGACGAGAAGACGCCACCTATCCAACGCCCCCTAAGACACCGGAAAAGAACTGTTCCTCGGAACATGCGACAGTAGAGGAGTCGGTTGCGTCGGCGTTCTCGTCAACACGAGTTTGTCCATGAACATCGATTCATTCGAACAACTTACAACCCGAATCGGACGTTTACGATCAAAAAGACGTGGATCAATTCCGGCTTTGATAATCTTCGTCGTTTACGCGCCGACATCAAACCATGATGAAGAAGGACTCGAATCGTGCTATATGAAATTGGAGAAGTTCTACAGAGAAGACCACGCATTCTTCGAGGTCATCATTGGAGTTTTAGACGCTAAGATTGGACCAAGGAGAACGTATGAAGACCGTCACATTGGGATCCACGGATTAGAATGGAACGAACAGGGTGAGCGGCTGTCTGAGTTTATCATGGCGACCAAGACCGTCAATGGCAATTCGTAATTCCAGAAGCCCCACCCTCAGTGCTGGACGTGGGAGTCTCTCAATGAAGAGTACCATAGCGTTGTAGACCACATCACAGTAAATAGAAGGTTTTACCTAACTTCTGTCGCTGTTGTCCCAAAATTTTACACGGGATCAGACCATCGTCTCTTTCGTGCAAGATTCTATTTCTCGTGGAAAAAAGAAAAAGTTGCTAAATTCCAAAACCGCTGTCGCAGAACTACCGCAAACTGGAACCTATTCAATTCATTAGTCGGCTGTTGGAAAGATGCCGTTGTCGATAACATCGAGGAAGAGTACGGTGGGTTTATTCAACATCTTCAAGTTAGCACTATGAAAGCTGAGAGTTCGAAAGTCACCGAGAGACGTTTTTCTCCAGAAACACTCGAGCTGATACGCCAGCGTGGAATCGCAAGAGCTGCAGGCTGCCGCGAACTAACGTCCGAACTTGCAAAACAATGAAGGCAGGCGATAAAAGAAGATCTTAAAGAGACGTCATGCCATTTCGTCGATGAAAAATCGAGCAGCACCAAGTCAGAAAAGGATAAGATCAGAACACCTGAGGAACCTTCCGCCAGTCCTCGTGAACACACTGGCTCCGCTCTTCACACGTTACCTGTCTGAATGCAAGGTCCCTACTCAGGGAAAAGCAGCAGGACCGTGTTATTGTTCAAGAAGGGTGATTTACACGATATCGGCAGCTATCGCCCAATCTGTTTACTATCTGTCGTGTACAAACTTTTCACACGAGTCATCCTAAACAGGATTGACAGAACACTAGACGAAGGGCAGCCATATGAGCAAGCAGGTTTCGAAGAGGATGTGGTACGATGGACCACATCTACACGGTAACACGGCTCATTGAAGTATCGCGAGAGTGCAAAAGGCTACTCTGTCACACTTTCATCGATTTACAGAAGGCCTTTGATTCAGTTGAAATAGAAGACAGTCATGGAAGCCCTTGATAATCGAAGAGTCGCTACTCAGTACATAAAGATTCTTCGTGAGTTGTACAAAAATTTCACAGCCAAAGTATCACCATTCTACAACGAAATTATCGTTGATGTCAAAAGAGGAGTAAGCCAATGCGTTGCCCTCCCGCGAAAATTATTTACTGCCACACTCCAGAACGTCATGCGAACATTGGAATAGGATAATATGGGAGTGAAAATCGATGGTCGGAAATTACACCATCTTCGCTTTCCTGATGACATCGTCCTTATAACACCAAACATTAGCCAAGCGGAACGTATGCTTGACGACTTTGATAAAGCCTGTGGAAAGATTGTTCTACTAAATCTCGCAAAAACGATGTTCACGAAGAATGGATTGGTTTCGCATGCCCCATTCACATTAAACGGAACAAATATCTCCAAATGCTCCAGTTATATATACCTAGGTTAGGAAATCAATACGATAAACGACCTAACTCCAGAGCTGAGCAGAAGGAAACGAGCAGCTTGGAAAGCTTCCAAGAGCGTCGAGGATGTAGTGAAGAGAACAAGGAACACCCGACTCTGTGCCCACCTTTTCGACTCAACGGTGCTTTCTGCTCTAACGTATGCGTCAGAAACCTGGTCGCTGCGTAATCAGGATGAAAGGTCACTTAGCGTTATCGAAGGCGCAGTCGAAAGGACGATGCTAGGAGTATTCCGTTCCGCACAAGTAAGGGATCGGATCCGAAGCTCCGATCTGCGTCGACGATCAAAACCCAAAGATGCCGTTCTGTACGCCAAACAGTCGAAGATAGAGTTGGTTGGACACGTAATGCATATGAATGACAACCGATGGACAAGAGCCGTTAGTGATTGTATTCCTCAGGATGTCAAACGTACTGAAGGAAGACCACTGACCCGATGGTCAGAGTTCTTCACAAAGGGCCTTGAAGAAAGATGTGATACTCGACGAGTCTCTAGAGCGAGCAGAACCCACTGGGCTACTCTTGCACGTGACAGGGAAAAATGAAAGATTTATTGGCGCCCGCTCGAGTCACTCGACGATTAACGGGACTACAAGTGATACAGGTGATACAACCACAGTGGCACTAATGTATTTGTAAACCTCTGGAAAGCAAGTGTCTGCGTTGGGGAGCGAGCGCGCTATTATAGTTTCAGGGGCTAACGTGTTCAGTATCACACCGTGCGTCTCCGTCGTTCCTACTTATTCTCGTCTAGGTTTTTCTACCAGTGCCATTAGAAATCACGAAAGACTTGAAGCTTTGTGTTCTTTGACAACCGTGCCAAACCTTGTATTGTTGTTGTACTCGAGGATATTGCTGCTCGTTCACAAATAATTGGCTTTTTTTAGAAACTGTTGAATTCCTTTCACATTATCATTGGTTATCCAATACAAGCAAGAAGTTTTTCTTTGTTATTGTAGATTTTTTTCTTCAGAAAAATCGATCAGAACAAAACGCACAAGGTCCAGAGTCAGCCGAAGATGAGACACCAATCGAGACCGCCTTCGAAGAGGCGATTCGAGAACGCAGACGAAGTAGTATTCCAACAATAGCCGATGGAATATTGGTACCACCATCTGCGTTACAGGCGGTCGATTCTTCTATCCGTGGTAATAATCTCAATGATAAGTTAAAACAGTGTCGAGAATGAACCAATGATTTGTCAGCTGTACCCTCAGAGGAAGATCACCACTGAATTTATCAGTTCACAAAAGAACTGATTTTAGAAAGGGAAAGTGACAACATTTCTTTCACTATGGATGAAGCTGTTCTTCTGAGTTTATACTTTCATGGCGTTCATTTTAGCGCTTCCAACGAATTATGATGAAGGAACGAATGTTATTGTATTGTATTTATTGTATTTAAAGATTCGCCTCGATTCGAACGTCGCAATTCATTAATGCCAGCTCGAGTCAGTGGTCGACAATCATCTCGAAGCATGCGTGGAAAAAGAAAGGTTAGTTCGAAGTTTTTGTTGTAGTGATGCCTCTTTATTAATTATCGTTAGGTTCTTCCGTTTTGTATCTAAACGCAGTGTTTTAGACCAGAGCAGTTCCAGAATTCTATGATCACTCACGGCATCCTAGCATACGCCTCAAAGCTCCAAGTGCTAAAAAGGTATCTTTAGATCTTTCGGTAATGCTCATCATGATTGTAGCTCTCATAGCTCTTTGGCTATCACTATCTTTTCAGAAGAAGATGACTCTTCTTCGCGTGGAAGAGGCAGATGTGCAAGTGGAACTACTTAATGGTCAACGAATAGAGGCTGGTGATTTAATTTCGTCCTGAAAAAGAGAACTTTTAATGTACGCTTTGGAAAAGAAATGCGCTCTCATTATGTAATAGTAAAGACCTCAATAAAAACTAGCAGACAGAAACGCAAAGCGAGGGCCTCCGTCATGCAGTGTTTAATACGCGAGCCCCTGGAAAGTGTAATCGTGGTTTGATCTGGGCCAGGGTCCAAGGTTTGCGAATATCTCAGCACAGTTGTGATTGTATCTGATATCGAACCTTGCTGTGAAAACTGTAGTAGGCAGCAAATAAAAGGGTTGACATAAAGACCTTTCTTTTCGCTAAATGTTAAATATCTAAGGGACGCGTGTAGCGCAGTGGCTGGAGTCACCCTGCAGTACACGTGGGAGCTATCCCAGGTCCCAGGCTCACCGAGCCTTCCATCCCCCCAGTGTCAGCAGATTGGTACCAGACTTGTCTGAGAGGATAGCAGCACTGGTTCGATACATCGGCAGACCACCGTAAGTCTTTGGCCAGATATGCATTCAGTCACCTCCAATGATGCTTAACAAAGGCGAATGCATGGCGCATCCCTCAGGGATTGGTCAACGCAGATTGCTTTATCCTTTTTTTTGTTAAATATTAATGATCAGCTACCAAAGATGTCTCTTCTTTGTATTTAACAACTTCCTATCTTGTATGTTCAAGCCAAACATATTTTTGAAAAGAAAAATAGGTTTTGTTTCTTCTCTAGGTGTCTTGCCGAACGGATTCCGTCGCCCGTGACATTTTCTCGCTAGTAGTTCAACACATGAACATAAATGAGCATGTGTTTTTCGGCTTGAGTATCATGAAAGGTAGGAAGAGTTATTGCTTTTGATAAAAAGGCATACCTTGCGTAAAATTGCTTTTGTGTCATACCCAGTTGTGGTGTTCAGACACGGAATATTTCTTCATTGACGACCATCAACGCCTCGAGAAATTCGCACCACCAGGTTGGAAAAGTGCACACAAAACAGGGATTCGGACAGATTTCGTTCTATATCTCCGATTTCGGTTTTATCCTCAAATACTCGACTTTATAAAGTGAGGTTTCAATGCCTTCCTGTTTTTGGTGATTTATGATTTATTTCCTTTATAACACTCGATTTGCATTCGGATAACCCTTTAAAAGGTCCGGTTGCTAAAATAAGGCGATATAATAAGGGACTGATTAGTTGCATTATTGAATTAGTTCTAGATGATGCCAATAAGGTATCGTTTCGTTCGTTTCATTTACCAAAACTGCTTTATTGGTTCCTTTGTTTCGAGTTTCACGATGACAGCAGCTTTCAGACAGATACTCTACTTTCAACGTTTTTACTTACCTACTTAGATACGTGGATAGGCCGTCCTCACTGGTTGTACGGGCCCCAGCATAATCTCGGTTTCTTTCAGAGTTTTGCTGATTTATCCATTGTGCTAAGTACATTCTCCGTCACATCTGGCATTGAAAGCAATTAGTATTTAGCTAACGTATGACCATATATTTTTTGTTGGTTGAAAAATCTCATATGGGTTGACACATTACTTACGAAGGCGGGAGTTTAATCGACACATAGTGAGATTATTAGCATAGCGTGCTTGTTAGCAAAATTCACTATTTCTTATATAGCTTTCCCAAATATTTTTGCTTGGATGTGTGCAAAATCCTATCACTGAACTGAGTGAAATTTAGTACGTAATAAATTCCATCCTATGAGGTATCAGCAACCTTTTAGAACAGACGTAACCATGCACGAGCTATACTTACAAGTACGTCACGATATCATTGAGGAGAGAATACAACCACGTCGCGATGCTGCCTATGAATTAGCAGCTTTGGCGCTGCAAGCCGAGTTCGGTAATCGACCACCGCCAGTAATTCACGACTACTTCGACAACCAACATTACTTGCCTCGGGTATATTTCAGCTTCATTCAAACCATTGTCTTTTTATACCGCCGGAGTTTTACCATTGTTAGAATAACTGTACAGTCTTTTTCCTGCTTATTTTTTATTGTTGATTGACTTTACCACCTTTGTTAATTCCTTGTGAGATACCAAGGAGACTCTTCTTCGAATTTCAGGTTTACTTTAACACTTCTGGAACTGATTTGTTTTTCTCGTTATTTACAGAGCTTTTTTATTCTGCAAAAACTTATCGTAATTGAATCTACAAACGATTGGTACATATGCAGCTGATTGACTATCGTCCACACACGTTAGCGACGATGCGTATGGCGTTCAATGCCTATGATTCGAAGTTATGACCGCTATAAGCTTTAAATCAGTATATCTAAAGAATTTCTCTACTTGAAATTACACAGATCCTTGCCTAGAAGACAAAACTCCTTTTATTTTACCAATGTTGAAATCCGATTTTCTGGAGCTAGAAAACTTTTTCACTTTTTTTCCATGAAGGCTCGTATTTCAAACACGGGAGCAATTGGAGTTTCGTTTGGCAGGGCATAATGATGTTAAGGTTTCCATTGTATTCTCTGTTTTTGGTGTTACAGCTCTTTCTTCAGAAATATTGGAAGTTTAAATCAAGTCTTCTATTTTTTCGAGGACTTTATTCTAAAAAAAAATTAAAATTGAAAGAATAATGAAGATGCACTGCCTTAAGTCAGTAGGGCAAAGCCTCTTCTCATCGCAAGCATTCAGTTGATGGAAAATTACCGTCTGTTGTCGAATAACGACCTGTTTAGATCATTTCTAATTTGACGTTGACATTTTAGGAACTTAAGTGTCTTTCTCAGGCTCACAGAACCAGCTCCTTAGTAATTTCCATGGCTAGCCTTTTGTTAGCCTAGGCATTGGTAAATAATTTGCTGTTTTCTTGGTAATGGCGCAAGAGTTTATTATTATATGCTGTTCATTCCTAACATCTAACATTTTAACATATTTCGCTTTTTTCACAGCCTGGACTGATCAGGTTTACAGCAACCTAGTCAGCCAAACACCTCCATCACCGCAAGGGAAAGCGTTTCCTAGATTTCATTCCCGTTTGGAATAAAAAATCTTTAAACATTTATCGTTTTCTGTGAGTCTTCCACTGAATATTCCACATGGAAACAAACTGAACAGATGTATTCTTTCTTTGATGAGCTTACACGAGGTTGATAATGATGTTTATTTTCGGCTAACGTTTCGACGTCTTCGTCTTCCTCAGAGCCAATGATCCGAGTCGATGGTCCTCGCTTGTTATTCGTCTCGACGTGGCAGCTTCGCCTTTGTGTCGGGTCAGGTCTTCTTCAGTGAGCCATCTCCTCGAATGAGGCATCCTTACTCAGTGATGCCCTTTTATACACGATGCTGATGGTCGATATAATGATAATGTCCAGTGATAACAACTTATTTTTCTTCCGGACATACATCATTATCAAAAACATTAAACATTATCAACCTCGTGTAAGCTCATCAAAGAAAGAATACATATTGATTAGTGATACCGAGGTTCAGGGAAAGTCGGTTTCGAAATATGAAACTGAACAGAGTCGTGTTAAGATAGATAAGAAATGAACCATTCAGATTAAATTGTCAACCTGAGGTGTTGTATGAGATCTCGCGTGATGATGAGGCGTAAATCGCTGCGGTTCACTTCCTCATTCTTGGAATTTATCTTCGAGACTTGAATGCTTCGAGAGCTTTGCGAGCTGATGTATTGGATTCCTTTGCAAAGATTACCTTTATTTCAAAGTATTATCCTTTATTTCTGTCTGCCTTTGTCCGCTTAGTGGAGCATTTGGTTTAGCTTTACGTTTATCATTTCACATCACCATATCAAGGTGTTCTTATACACCGACAATGGTCTACTCATTTCGTCACCATACTGGTCTGAGCATACTTGGCAACAGATAAGCCGTACCCGAACTCATGCGATCACCCGTTAGTGCATATTATGCAATTTTGCGTTGCACATAGATTGTCAGTGGTAATAACGGAGTGGTTAGTGATGCAGTCGATCAGGAAGCAAAGGCGCTAGTTCGATCTCCACCCCAACGCTGTTTCCCAGTCCACGTAGAAACGCCCTAGCCCGATTATCTCTTGGATTGCATAAGGAATTGACTCGACTAACACTCCAAGGCACTCAGAAATCCTCAAGCAGCAGCTGAAATAACACGCAGAATGTTCGAAGACCATTGTGGATGTTGAATGCGAGGAAACGAATCGAATGCAAGAAGTGCTAGGATCCTCATAGTTGGTGTGACGATAGATCATGTAAAAGAAAGTAACATGGATGGTCATCCAGGCATTTAACAACTTAGTGGCATCTGAGAGTGCTTGGTGATATTTCAATCACTGCTACCGATTCCTCGAAACCGGCTCTTTTAAGAAACGTTTTATAGCTGTAGTTATTTCATTGGAAATGAAGGGTAGGATAAACAATACCCTGTTCTCGCCAGACTCGATATTTTCAGCGCCGCGTTCAGGGGTTCTTGCTTCTGTTATTTCTGTGGGGAACTTGTGTTTGTTCGAAACATGTTCCTCGCAGGCACCCCTTTTCGTTTGTGAAGGATGAGAAGAGAGCTAGTGGACCTGTATGTTTGTACTTCTTGCCTTTCGATACAAATTTGTGACGTGAGCGTTTTCAGGTAGGTTAATTTCTGTGGCTATTCACTCAACAACTCCAAACACTTTTTCATCCCCGTTTCTGTGGAACAGATGAGAAAACTGTCGTTTGTATATCTATAGTAGGCCAATGGTCGTTAACACATTAACGATGTTTTTTTCCATAACTGCTGACAATTTTCCGACAACTGAAGCTCTTGACCGTTTGCGACCTAACAAACTGGCAGGAAATGCTTACTCTGCCACTCTAAAGAATGTGTATTTTCTTGGAATGGGATTTTTTTGTTCAAAAATCAAATCTTCACGAGAATGAAGGTGGGAATCCTCATGACCCCCTATTAACCTCGGCGTTGTTCAAATAATTCTCGATATTCTTGTTGAGTAAACTGTTACTCTATTCTTTATTCCGGTTAAACTGACGTTTCGGTGGTACCGCCTTGTTGAGACTGTGGAAGGGTATATTGAAATGCAATTTACCACGCCAAACGCTTTACGCCTTCATGCTCTTCAGAAAGCGATACTGCCGAAACGTCAGCTTGACCGGAATAAAATATAAAGTAACATCAATGAATCTGAGATATTGGCAAAACTTTGGACCGCAGGTGTCTGCGGTGGGGAACGAACGCGCTATTGTCCTTTCCGGGGTGTAACGCGTTCACCACCACACCATGCGGGTCCTTCGTTTCGCTTGTCTCTCAGCTAGCAAATAAAACCATTAAAAAAGGATTAAGATTATAAAGTAACATTTCGTGTTTTCAAAATTTGATTATTTGAAGTTTCTAAAGTAGGTCATAAGCTCTTACATCAAAAACATTTAGAGGGGCATCGTAATGTTCTACTGGACGAACTTGCGATTTTTATATCGGGGGTCTGTGGTTATCTGCCGTCTACAATCTTTTCGCACGAGTTTTCCTAAGTAGGATTGACAACATTGGAAGAAAGACGGCTATGTGGGCAGAGAAGATTTAGAAAAGGATTCAGTACGTTGGATCACATCCACACAACTACAAGACTCTTTGAAAGACCACGAGAGTACGAAAGATTGCTGTTTCTCCCACTTTCGTCTACTTGAAGAAAGCTTTCTACTCATTTGAGACGCATGCAGTTGTAGAATCCCTGGAATGCCAGAGCGTTTCCGCTCAGGATATAGAGATTCCTCGTAAGCTGTATAGAGGCTTCACAAAATATCACCATTCTACAACAATGTTAACATCGACATCAAAAGATGTGTTACGCAATGCGATACCATCTCCCCAATATTATTTACCGCCACTCTAGAGAACGCCATGTGAACATTGTAGTGGGATAACATGGGAGTGAAAATCGACGGCTCACAATCACACCGTCCTCACTTTGCTGATGACATTACTCTTATAACGCCAAGTGTTACCTAACTGAGACGAACGCTTGCCGAGCTTGGTAACGCTTGTGGAAGGATTAGTTTTTAAATGAATCACACAAAAACGATGTTCATGAGAAGCGGATTGGTTTTGCATGCCCTATTCACGCTCAACAGAACGAACATCTCTGAATGTTCCAGTTATGTCTGTATAAGTCGGGAAATCTATTGCACATGGTGAACGACATAGAGCCAGAGTTAAGCACAAGGAAGCAAACGGATTGGAGATCTTTCAAGAGCACTGAGGTTGTAGCGAAGCGAACAAAGAACGTCCGACTTCATGTCCACGAATTTTGACACCACGATTCGTCCTGCCTTAATGTATGCGTCAGAAACCTGGTCGCTAAATAAGTAGGATGAAAAAACCACTCTGCATTACAGAACGCCGAGTCGAAAGGATGATGCTGGGAGTATATTGTATCACGAAAATGAAGAAGGGGTTCCAAAGCCTTGCCCTACGTCAGCAATCAAAAATCAAATTCGCTGTTCTTTACGCCAAGCTGTCGAAGACAAGGTGGGCTCGACACGTAATACGTATGAACGACAACGGATGAACAAGAACCGTTAATGACTGGATTCTTTTGGGGTGTCAAACGCAGAGCAGGAAAACCACCGACCCATTGGTCAAAGTTCTTCACAAAAATTCTAGAAGAAAGATATGATGCTCAGCGAGTCTTTAGAGAGAGCAGAATCCACTTGTATACTCTTGTGCTCGACAGCGAGAAACGGTAGTTTTACAGGAGCCCGCTCGAGTCACTCAACGATCAATGGGTTCACAGATAATACGGGCGGTAATAGGTGGTTATTATATGAAATTTGTGGGAAAAACATGGATGTTGACTCAGCATAAGGAGCAAAATACTTCTACGTGGTGACAGCAAGGTGTTCACACAATGAACCTGGCAACAGAGCAATGGGTAACATGTATATCATTCGCACCTATAGAACAGTACAACAATTCTGTTATATCCACAACCTATAAAGCACTATATTTGTTGAAAAATTATTTTTTTACGGCCAGAAAACCAGAAACTCCTCAGCCGACTAGGAATTGTTCGTATTCTATATGGAGAGCCACGCTGTACAGCACGCGTTATAAGTTAAATTTCCTGTTTTTACCTTTGTGCGCTTTGGTTACGATAGATAGTTCATGTTGGTCTTTATCACTGTTAAAGCTTGTAAGTGAACTGAGTAAATCACAAAATTTGGTGAGGAGAAGGTCACTTTCTACCGAATATCCCATGTTTCAAGACAATGTGTCTCCAAAGTATTCCAAAGTTTATTAGTGATTTGGGAAGGCTATCGATTTGCAACATAATAGACAAGCTATTCTCAGAATGACAGCTTATTGACACAAATGCCCACTCTTCCAGTGATATTTAAAGAATTTCTCTGTGCGGGCAAGTGTTTATACATCCAAATTCAGCGTTATTGCTCGAGCAATGATCCGAAGAATTTACAATCGGTGCTTGCCGAGATGCATGGGCATTATGTTGGTACAAAACCAACGGATGCTGAACACATGTTTATACAGGTATCCTTTTTCCCATTTATACTGTTAATTTTCCTTGTATTGAATGAAATATGTCCAGATTTGTCAACGACATCGTGATTTTGGTGCTCACCTTCATCGAGTGTTTCGGAACAAACCAACGGGTTCTCAGGGATCTGCACCATTCGACCCGGATACTGGTGCTGCACTTTGGATTGCGATTATGCCACGGGGAATTAGTGTATATGAAGAACAGGTTAGTTACTAGATGAATACAGTTTAAAGCAGTCCGTATCTCATCAAAGACCAACTCCCGAAAATAGTGGGGTAACATTTTTGTGATTTCCGTTATGTTTCAGGGTTCTGCGAGGGAACTATTAGCTGAACATCTGTGGCAAGACACTCAAACACTTCAGTTTGACAGGAAGAAGTGTGTTTAGAATGTGTTTCTCTTTCTTGGTTTCCTTAAATTTTATCGTTGTAATTCAGTCGTACTTGGGTAACAGGTACTTTTCTAGGTTTGTCATCATTGCTATTGAAGGAAGTCAGCAAACGGAGTCAATTTTCTACACTGATCACCATACGAAGTGAGTTTTTGTCGTGAGGATTTTGCATTTGTTATTTTCTTCATTGTGCTCGTTTCTCATCAACAAAATATAGATTATTCTCGTTTTACACTTTTTTATCATTGGGAGGCTACGAGGACACCTGTTATGTTTATAAAAACGGATAAAACGATAAATAAAGCTCTCAGCTTTGATCAATCTCTGATGGATGCGCCTTGCATTTGACTTAATTAAGCATAGTTGGGTGTTATTGAATGCACATCTGGCCTTTACGATAACTTGCGGTGGCCTACCGATGTATCGGATCAGCGCTGCTATCTTCTCAGACAAGTCTAGTACCAATTTGCCGACCCCGGAGGGAGAGAGGACTTGGTGGACTTGTGGCGCGGACATTGATCCCATGCGTACTGCGGTGTGCCTCCGACCGCTGCGTTACACGCGCCCTAGAAGGACAGATACTTTTAATATGTATTTATCGTGCATTCTGCACTATTTCACTGTTGATTTAACTTCTTTTAGAAGTGCATACTTCGTGAAATTCTCAGCGTCTCAGCATCGTTTCATGATGCGAATGCGTCAGTGGAAATCGACGTTAAGTCATGAAAGCACGATTCAGGCAATGCCTGACGTTTGTGTGGAGGGCCGTGAACCACGTCCAGTCCAAACACATAGTAGGTTACGATTTCTACTTGTACTACTAAGTACTTGTTAATGGTTATCTGTTTCGAATGTTCATGACAATAATGATGCTGAGATATTTGCACAACTCCGTGCTGCTGGTGTTTGTAGTGGGGAACGAGCGCGCTATTACCCTTTCCGGGGGCTAGCGTTTTCACCACCACACCGTGCGGGTCCCTCGTTTCATCTGCCTCTCAGGTAGTTTTTATCAACCTGTGCCATCAACAATTGCCCGTCAACAGGACTGATCGGAGAGCACACATTGGCATTATGCTGAGGCTGTAACTGGAATCGCGCTGTTAACAGCTTATGATTTTACGACAAGTACTTTCTAATTTTGACCTTTTAATTGCTGCTTATTGTATTTTTTCACGGCAGGTTATTATGTGAAGTGCAACTGCAGTGATGCTGAGGTAATAGCAAAACTTGGACCCCAGGCCGGATCGAACCACGTTTACCCTTTCTGGGGCTCGCTTGTTATACACTGCACCATTGAGACCTGCTAAGGTTCGACCTGACCTGTGGTCCAAGTTTTACTAATATCGCAACATTATTTTGTTAATTGTTAGTGGTTATCTGCCCCAAGTGTTCATGGCAGCTTGCACTTATATGCCTCTTTTTCACGAAAACTTGTGAATTTGGATGATTACATATTATAGTTATTGTTTCTTCCAAAAATGCTCAACGTGTAGTGCAGACACTGTAGTAAACACTTAGACTATGTCGTCCTTTTTTCCAGTAAAAGGTATTGGTGGTGAGACGTCGTGTTTTTATTATATTTTATCTTAGTTGGTTAGTATTATCTTTATAGTTAGTGGGAGTGAGGAATTCCATTAGTAGTGTTGAACTAACCCTACTAAGTATATGTTACCAGTTATGATTATTGGGAATTATGCGCGTAATATAGCGTAGTAATCGAAAGAAATTCAGGCATTTTTTACAACATGTTTTTTGAAAGCTGCTCTTTGTTTCGTCGAGCTTTTTATTGGACCACAGCTTCTACAGTGGTGGTGTATGATTGCTTCGTGTACTATTTGTGTAGTACTGTGTTGTGTTGTAGTCGATGCACCTATGCACGAAGAGCAAGACTTTCCTCTTGATGTGGCGGAATCGATGTTTGAGAAAGTACCAAAGGCATCCATTACCGCTCAGCAACCGATGTCCTTAAAGCCTCAGTCACTTGAGATACATTCTTCCGTGGAGAAGAACAATAATCAAGAAGCGGTTAATAGTAAGTGTCTCATAAAAACGGCTACTGCACTTCGCCATTATTCATTCTATTGTTTTCGGTGTGATTATTGCAAGGTTTTTTCCCAAGTAAGTTCTTGTTCGGTTACCATTGTATGGATTTATAGATTCTACGATCGAACGATTCGAGTCAGTAAATCACCATGATTTCACTGACGGAGAGCTTCCAGGAATGCGATTCGAAGTTAGCCTTGTGAAGGTTTGTTAGAGTTTCGTGTCAGAAAATTTGTTGATTTCACGCAGTTGAGTTATTGCATTAAGGATCCATCAAGTGGTCTTGGCCTCACGTTGGTCGATGGGAACCTTAATGGCGTCAAAGGTGTGTATGTGAAATCAGTTGTGGAAAATGGTGCTGGTATGAGAGCGGTTGGTTTTGTCGTTATTCTGTTATCTTTTGTGTCATTCGTACTCCCATAAACCTGGAGACGCTCCAATGGACATCACTTAAAATTTTATTCGTCTTTTTTGCGTTCCTAGACTTGTTAGTGGAATTCATTCGCTTACTGAATATAGGAAGGGAAACGCTGTTCGTATACAGTGCGCCATTTTATAGTTATTAGTAAAAAGCACTAACCTCCCAACGGTTTATCGCCTCATCGTGGCTGGGAGGTGTTCCTGGGTTTTGGGCTGCGATATACAGCGGGAGGATTCATCCCCCCGACAGGGCCTCCCAAGCTGAGGAGTCCGGCGTTTCCATCAGGAAGCCTAGCTAAGAGTAAGCCAATACCAATACTAGGATCCACCACCGTCTTGGTATTAAAGTCGCATGGTGGCAAATCTCTCTCTGATGCACAAGAGCTGCGACTGCCTGTCGTGGTGATGACCTGGGACAGACTTTGGCCAGGCTGTCCTCGGGATTCCAGGCAACGACAATGGCTTAACCAGCAAATCTCCGAAAAAAGGTGATTACGCTGGGGCCCGCACAACTAGTGATGACGGGCCGTTCAAGTTCAAGTTCAAGTAGGTAAGTAAGTAAAAGGCGTTAAAAACTGTACCCATGGATAGGGAAAGGGAAGGGTTTGCTGAGGATACCTGTGTGTAGTCATTGAGTTTGTTTGCTAGAGACGCCGGTGAAATGCTTTTCACCTGCGTTTTCATGAGTTGGCTACATGTTTTTGGCTGAATCGTTGCGCCGCATGGGCGCGTTGGCGCAGTGGTTGGAGGCAGCCTGCAACACATGGAATCCCCGCTCATGGAACACAATGGAATCGATTGCCGCGACCATGGCCCACCAAGCCTTCCATCCCTTCAGGGTCGGCAAATTGGATGTCGGAAATGCTAGTGTAGTGGAGAAGGAAGAGAAGCAGAGTAAAATTTCTCCACTTCTTTCTAGGGTCTGTCTGTTGGTGATCGTCTTCTTGGTGTCGATGGAGTTTCTTTGGAGGGAGGTGATCGACACCGGGCTGTAGAACTCGTACGAAAATCTGGAGAATCGGTGCGTATGGAGATTGCCCGGCTTGTTGGCGTTGTGCGACATGAAAAAAGTGATTTTTTAACCTGCTTTATAATGTGTGGTTATTTGTTGTGTTGTTTGCATGGGCTGTTTTGTTGTAATAACTTCTTTATCTATTGGATCTAAAAGTTTCACTTCATGTGCATTGTGCTTGTAGTGCAACGTAGTAGTGACACCACGAAGAAATTAGGCACCGTAGGAGCATCTGGAGGAGTGCTAACAGTAACTACACAGAAAGGTTTCTTTGATGTTGTCTTTACTATCTAACCATATTTTTGGTGTTGCTGTGCTAGTGTAAACTCATTTGAGGTTTATTAGTAAGATCTCTCCAGGTTTGTCACGTACGCCTCCGCCACCACGACGAGCAGCCAACCGCCGACAGCGCGCTATCTCTGATTTTGGTGCTATAGGCGACACTTTACCAGCACTGGATAGTGATAACGTTATTAACATCAAGGCTCTATATGGGTAAGATTACGTTAAGGTAGATATACAACATTCGTTGTGATTCGTGTAGATATTCTAAAAATCTTAAAGATTTAGTTTTTTTCAAAGTTCTCTTGTGAGAGAACGAACTATGAAATAAGTGGCAAGGATTCCACTATCGACTTGCTTACCATTCAACTTTTATGTCTTTTTTTCACGTGTATTTCTTTAATTAGGTTGTTCCCTGACTTTCCGTATAGTCTCACCAGAATTTTTATTCCCTCTAGAGCCGTATTTTTTTAAATTGGCACATCAACAATTTTTAGATTGCACTTAGCCGATTCTGACGAAGAGCAAGGCGAGTACCGTCTTCCGACAACGTCAATGTACTCTTTTGAACATCACTACGATGATGATAGTCCGTCATCTCCTACAGCAAAGGTATGGGATGTTAATTTTGGTTGAACATGTGGTATTTCTGTCCACATGTTAAATTCTTTGATTGGCATCCAAAACAATCTAATAGGGCGCTTTAATTGGCATTCTTTATCTCTGCTTTATCACAAGTAATCAATTGTTTCTGAACGTCAAAAGGTGCTGTAGAGGGATCTTGGCTGAGATTTGGGCGAGTATAAATTTTTAACCCGCTATATCGCTTTATTTTAGACTCCAGGTGAAGTTTTATCTCCTGAATTGTCACAACCGGCTGTACCATCGACAGACGGAAGGCGGAAATATCGTTATGCCAGGTCGGAATGTGTTACCGTCATTCTTGTGGATGTCCTTGTTTAAATTTATTAGCTTCTATGTTGTTATTCGTTTTATTATTCAGCTTTGCTTCAGAAAATCTAATCTCGAGTGGACAGATGAACTTGAAGATGTTGGTGAAGAAGACGAAGTTGAAAATGATGTTTTCAACGTAAGAATACTCCTTGGAATTAAGCTCTTGTCGTAAACTTCTTCATCTGAAAAAGAAAAACCGAATTCAAATTCGTTACGAAATTTTATTTTGCAGCCCTTCTTTCTGCATTTGATATCATGACGAAACATCATCTGTATAAAATGACACAGTATTGTTCATTTTATCCGTTTTTTGAAAATCGTGCCAATTTTTCGAGTTGAAGTGGTTTTATGGTACAATAGTTACGTGACATTTATTCAAAGTAGAAATTTTAAAGAATGATGAATAAGTAGTGTAGGTAGAACTGGAACGTAACTCTGTTGGTTCATTGGGAGTACAAATCGCATCTATCGGTGGTCGAGTGTGTATTAAACAACTGAACGCAGAGCCAGCTGCAAGCCATCCAGACCTTCACGTTGGTGACGCGCTTATACATGTACGTTTGATAATTTATTCGAGACACGCAAAGTGACGTTGACGCATTCGTTACTATTTTTAGATAACTACGAAAAGTTTCTTGATAACTAAAGTATTTGACCCACTAAATTGTGTTTTTAAAGAAATCATTACTACAAATGGATGATTTTTTGGCTTTCATTTGTTGCACCTTACTTGGGTGGTCGGCTTCACGAGTCGCTGCCGTCAAGTTTTCCTGAAATTCGAATTACAGGTATCTGTCTGTGGTGACCACCATAGAATACTTTTAGTACGACTTCGTCAGGTTTCCAGTGAAAATTACGCTTAAGCAGCGTCCGACTGTTCAATAAAGGGAGAGCTCTACGGATCATTATGCTAGAGCCGAATTAACACCTAAGGTCGATCACCTCAATGGGCGAAGGCTGCGGGACAGTAAAGCAAACGGAAGAATTGCTACAGCTAGGACAACATAAGGACTGAGAATGGTTCATCCGAGTGTCAATTTAATGGGGTTTTGAATTGTTTTTCAGTGCAAGTGGAGCAACCGGACTACTTAGTTGGTAGATTAAATACTTTGGTGGTCCGTCTTCACTGGTTTTGCGGATAGCAGCATAATTCCCATTCGTTACCTTCTCGCGCATTCGTCTTCCATGGTGGTGGTCTGCTTCGGATGTGGTTACGTCTGCAAGACCCGTTCCGTATTCCTGAAATATTTTGGAGTCCGCTACACTGTTATTTTCGCTCATCTGTCCAAAATTCTTCTTATTATATGACTAGCGCATCTGTGATTCGTTATCGGTGTATATGATTCCTTTTGGATCCCAAAGGTAGAAAATATTTCGTAGATCTGAGCTATTCCGGCTAGACGTTGTGAGTGGCAGTTTTAGAAAACATCGTTTAAGCCCTCTCTGGGTGGTGTCTAGCTTTTCTGACCTGCTTGAAGTATCGTTATACGTTTCTGCTGCATAACAGAGCGCTGCGAAGACTGTTAAATCGAAATCGAAAGAGTGAGCGAGAAATTTTCGGTTCGTTGGTTGGTTGGTGGCTTCTTTGAGTGGCCCAAATGCGGCCCATGGTGATCTCCTTCCTCTGTCTAATTCTTCCTTGATATTGTTCTTCATGTTTATTGGACGTCCATGGTACACGTAGGAATGATTTTTTGTAATTAGAGAGCCCTCCAGTTTGATTTCTTCACCTTCTCACCATAGGTTGTTCATGAACTGGGTTTTCTTCCGATTTATGCGGCGTCCAATCATTTTCCCCGATTCGTTGGGTTTATTGAGCACCGTCTCTGCTTCACCCATACTCCATGAAACGATGAGTTATTCGCGAAACTTTTATAGGAATTTTCCACCAATATGTATGGCCTTCTTGTCCTAATTGAGTGGTTTTATCCACTGCAGTGCTAAGCAGCTTTAGCGATATTATGTCACATTGTCAAACCCCTTTGGTTTTGGTGAGAGGTCGGTGAAAAAGCTGTATATTTGTGCTGCGGTTCGGATAACGGTTTGCTAATGTTCGCATATAGGACTGATTCACTCCTTCGTCGACGAGCACTGATAAGATTGCATTCGTTTCGACAATGTCAAGCGCTCTCTCGTAGTCGATAAAGGTTAGGATACAGGGCAGATGGTACTCCCAACAGAGTTCTATGACCCGTGATACGGTTTGGATGTTGCCAGCGCTGCAGAATACCTTCGGAATGCGGCTTATTCAAGTTTCAGTTTCCTTCTCTTTTCGAATACCTCTTTAGTGGTAATGGGGATGCGGTTTGAATTTCAAGTTTGAGGAAGAGGGTTGAGTTCGGCACAGCGTTTTAGTCCTTAGACAAGCGGTATGTAGTCCTCAGTCAGGTTTTCATTTATCTGCCCGTTATACAAGGAGAGGGTTTTGTTCAGAATATTCTCATCATACCCGACTTGTTTCATTTCTCTTTTACGATGACAGTTCTTTACCAACTAGTAGAGGAATCGAATTTTCGAACTGAGAAGGCGGTCATCAGATAGAGTACAGATTCCAGGTACCACTGAGATGTCAAAGTTGCACCATTTTCTGTTCGTGAGAACATGGTCGATCTCCGCATAAGTCATGCGGTTGTCCACCAGCGATTGTACTCTTCTCTAAAAGTAACTGCCACGACCGACTTTCTATTAACCTCGGCATTGATCAAGTGATTTTCTTCGTATTTTTGTTGAGCAAACGCGAGGTGTTACTATTCTTGTTCACGATTAAGCTGACGTTTCGGCGGATTTCTCCTTCTTCAGAGCCGCTTTCTATGAGGTTTCCACTATAGATGTGGTCGTTATATTTTTTATCCTATGAAATAGTGTTCAGTAACGGTAATAGAACTGGTTTTGTTTGACGAATTCAAAGCACGAGAATTTTCAAAGGCACATAGCAGCGAACTTTCTGCTGTAGTCATCATTTGAATATCGATAAACTGATGTGGTCTTTGATAGGTGAACGGCGAGTCAGTAGCTAACAAGTCCCACCAAGAGGTGGTTGCAATGCTACGCAATGGTGGTGACGTAGTTACTTTGGGACTTCGAAGAGAAACAGAGAAAAAAGACAACATCATCACAGCTGTTCTTGAAAAGAGGCCTGAAGGATCGTTAGGTAAGTGATTACTGCCTACTGATTGTTGGGAGTAACGTGGCGTTGGATGAATGAATTAATTTCAGGACTGTCACTGGCTAAAAGGACCGGCTCCGAGGGTATTTTCATAAGAATGATAGCGGCGAATTCAGCAGCTGCCATGGAAGGTGGGTCGTCTATAATCTAGTTGTTTTTGGGAAGTACTTGTTGTTTCTTTTGATTTGAATAATAGTAATGTAGTAATGTATTTATCTAATCCTATATTTTCGAGAAAGAATATCTATGTTTTGTAACATGGATACTGATATTTCTACTAGTTAGTATTTTTAAAAAACGTGGTTTCTTGGCCACAAAGTGGGTTTGATGTGTGGGTGAAAAGTCAGTATATCCAAGCATAGCTCTAGCGTAATATCCAATAACTTCCAATAACTTTTCTTATTCAGTTGCCATTATTATCCTAGGGTTTCATTATTAAATTGTCCAAATTCTCTTTGCTAGCAACTTTTCATACATTCTAAGGAAGCTTACGCGTTGGTGATCGAGTGCTTTCACTCGATGGTGAAAATGTGACGAATATGACACCAACAGCGATTCTGGAGCGACTGAGGTCCATTAAGGGAGCTGTACATGTCACTGTATCAAGAGATACACAATGAATTGTGTTTTTTTCCATTCGTTATTATAGAGCACATATTTGCTTTTCTCGTTTTTCACTCAACATTCTTCTATAGGTTCACTTATGTTATTCATGAGACAAATCTGTACACTAAGTACATATACACCGCAGACCTACTTAGTATGTTGCTCCTGCGTGCCTCATCATTTGCTCATCACTGCTCGATATTATATTTGTGATTGTTGTTATTTTTGTGATATTTAATAATGCTATCAGCAAACCCCGTGAACGTATTCCATGACGACCTCAATTTGTAGCAAATGACCTAACGATTGTATACCTATAATTTTTACTCACCTTCATCTCTTGAGTGGCACTTATGTTAGTGATACTATCCACGTATCCTCAAGTTCAGGTGCTTCAGTCAAAAATTGTAGATTGTTTTATATTCACTTGTCTTGCCACTATAATTTATTAATATTTTTTTCCGAAATAAAACCACTTATGAAGTAATAAAAGATGCTAATTGTGTTGATTACCAGTTTGAGGCTGAAGCATTGTGTGTAGTATTCTTTGACACGTTCTTACTAACAATAACACCCATCCTCGTAGACGGTCGGTGGTTATGCCAGCGTAGTTGACACAAAAACACGTTGTTCCAGCTGTCGTTTCCATACAAAGACACACTAAGTCCCAGCATCCTTGATTCTTGGGTTCCATAAAAACAACAGTATTGTAAAAGAACCGTCAAAAGCGCAGCAGTTTTAGATTACCAAAATGAAGCAGATGTATCTTGAAAACAGACTTTCATTAAACCTCGACAACGATAACCAGTAATTTACCACATACAAGAGGTTGGTATAAAAACTTTAGAGTTTAGCTCGATCATCTAGGAAACCATTGAAACGACATGTTTCAAAGTGCTAGTTAATAGTATGTACAATAACAAGACAACTAGATAGTTAATTTAACAGGAATCGTATTTTCTTATTTTCTTCACTGGTGATGAATTTCTGGGAACTTGAGAAGGAATACAAAGAGATTATATCTTTCTACTTCTGTTCAGCAAGCACGAGGTGCTTTTTTATTTCTTTATTTACGCACAAGCTGACGTTTCGGCGGATTTCGCCTTCCTCAGAGTCTGGAAGGGTCAACTTGACAGCAGTCCACTCGGCCAAACACCTCCATAACCAAACAGAGAAAACGCTAAACCAAGATTTCAATCACATTTGGCATAGCTCTGCACACTCACCGCTTTCTAAGAGTCTTCCACTCCTCCCATCAGAATAACAGGTTTATATACTGTCCAATATCGCGCGTGATAACGAGGCATTCCTCCCTGCGATTCATTTTCGGATTCATGGAATTAATCCAGAATGCCTCTAGAGTTTTGCGCGCTTGTGTTCTCGATTCTTGCGCCAGGATCGTAACCCTTACTTCAAAATCTTCTCCGTTATGTTTCTGCGTGCTATGCGTACCTAGTGGAGTACTTGGCTTACGTTTGCCGACTAGGTGTTCTTTCATGCGGACACAGAGGGGTCTACCCGTTTCGCCAATGTATTCGTCACCACACGTCTTACAGGAGATCAGATAGACTGTACCCGAACTCATGCAGTCACCGTCTCTACCATTGGGACAAATTATGCAATTTTGCGTTGCACATAGACGGTCGTATAGGCGGTTACGAACTAGCTTGCGCCTTAGATTACTCGGTGGTATTTCGATTGCCGTTACCGAATTCTCTAGACTGGCCCTTCTTAAACAGCGTTTTACAGCTGCACTTACTTCATTTCAAATGAAGGGCAGTATAAACGGGACCTTGTTGTCGCTAGAGTTATCGTTGGGGTACCTGTGGTTTTCTCTATACCTATCTCGAGCTACGGTTTCGTAGCCATTAAAAATGGTTATTTGCCGCGCCAAGTTCCGGGACTCCTCTCTCTGTTATCTTCCTGTGCACACGCTGGTAGCTGTTCGATACATGTTTCTCACAAGCGCGCTTTTCGTGTGAGAGGGATGAGAGGAGAGGTAATGAGCTAGGATGTTTTTACTGCTTGGCTTTCGATACCACTTCGTAATGTAGCCGTTTTCTGATAGGCTAATTTACACGTTCAGAAATGGAAACTAGTCTTCTTTTGGTTTCTCTCGGGTGAATCTAATATACTCTGACTGTGTGCTCAACACTGTGCACAATACACATCAAGAGTGGAGTGAAATTCCTAGAAAAGGAGAACAGTTTCTGGGCACTGGGAGTCAACGATGCATTTTGGCGGTTTGCATGTTGGAGCATTGGTCGTTGTACTTAACCCATAACGCTCCGTAAGGACACTGATGTGTCCATAGTCATTTGGAACAAGGAGCTGTGGATACTACACTCTCCATATTCAGTTCACCGGGTTCTAGAACGTTTTTTCACAGCGTTATGTATATTTGTTCGATATTTAATCGGAAGCGGATTGAAATACGATGGTTGAAAGCAGAAATGGTGTTCTTTACACTTAATGGTTTATAAAGAACGCTGTGATAACCGAGTTGATTTTGTGGCTGTGCACCGTAAAATAAGATAGGACGAACACACTGTACATATGGAAATAAGCTATCAAAGGACTTTAAGTATGCTATTTAGTAAAGGAAATGCATAGCTGACAACAACAAGATTAGAAATAGTGTCTAGGGAACGCTAAGCATCGGCAAAATAGTTGGTCATCGATGTGCTTTATGGTTTTGCATATTGAGAGCAATCCTCATTCCTTGTTCTAAGTTTTTCACTGAGGTTTTCAAATTGTACTCAAAAGCACCTATATTATCAACTAAAACGTTCACAATTTGTCATAGTGCCTTTCACACAGAGCGGTGGGTTTGGTTGGGCTGAGGGAAATGCAATTAAACAGCATACCATGGAAGAAGTCTCATCTTTTTCGTCCGAAATCAGGTGTTCTTTGTGTTCATGTGAGCACCGTGTGGTTCAGCGTCCTTCTTCATCTGTGAAATGAGCAAATAATAAAGACATACCTGCCAATTCGCTATAGTGTAGTGACTCATCGTAAAACTATTTGGGGAACATTCTTCATTTCCTTCATCATCTCGTAGCCACAGAAGTGGTGGGTTTGCTGCTAGTTTATCTAGACACATGAACGCTCTATCCTCACTGACATTTCGAAACAGTTCCTTATAAAACGTAACTTTTCTTCGAATCATGAGATAATACTGCTATATCGTTCCGATGTGGTCATAACAGACAGCAAATGACCTCGGTAAATTGGTTTCCTTCCGGAAAACCAGTGGACAGATTTCATGAAGCAACCCATATTTGCATTTCCTATCTATCGGAACTTGAGAGATAGATAAATAAGAGCTCAATACAACTAGAGGAGTATAAAAGCATTTCCTTCATAACTACAAGATAAACACATTATCGCTTCTTATGTCCAACCGGAAATGGACATTGAACTATCGGAGAACAAGAATAAATCTATAAAACTTGTGTGGTGGATCGTGGTTAGGTGCAGAAAGAAGCAATAGATCACCCATGTACTTAAAAAACATTGGCTGACTACGTAGAAGAGCGATTATATATAATACCTAAACTATGGGAAAGAATGATTCGTAAGAGCTATTGAAAGGAATCATTTAAATACTTAACTGTTCGCTTGACAGCAACATGTTACATTGTTTTACATGTCTCTAACTTCTTTATGACCACTCTCGAGTGCTGGTTGATCGAAGGCGAATCTCAACTCTGAATACTTCAATCTTTCAACTAAAAGATTATGTTGAATAACGAAGAAAAAGATTTGACAAAGAAACAAGAAAAATGTTGGGAAGTCGAAGTACCACCGAATTTTTACCGCTATCTCGGAAAATTCTTCGTTCAGCTCAGAAGATGCTACCTCTTTACCAATCAGGATCAGAAATGTCGCCATTACGAAACCTTTAGAGTTCATTGAACGCTAAATCGAGCTATATTATTTCAGCCACGCTTGGACTTCGTAGAATTAAACCTTTGACGAGCTCATAGTGATAAACGAGGAGCTCAGGATCTCATAGGTAACGCATACATAACAAAAAGATCATGCAGAAGTTTGGATACACATACAAGAAATACAGCAAATTCACTTCGATAAAATTTGCTAGGTTCAAAGCGTCGCGAATCTCTAAGTTAACAGGAAACAGTAGCGGAATCCGTCAAAGTGAGCACGGTGGCAGGTATTGCTTTGGATCGTAATGGGTCACACGAAATCGCTCGTTTTTTTTCGATTCGGCCAGCCAGGAACAACGGCACCGAGAAGGAATGGGTTAATAGCCTACCCGGTGGCGATGTGTCCGAAAAAAATTGGAGCATGTATGGTGCTGGTGGTCCTGAAACCGTCGGAAATTATGCACGTGATACTGAAAGATGGCTCACTTGTTAAGAGCATGTTACATATTATCAAAGAGTTATTAATAAGTAGCATCACTCTGCTTGGCAATTATTAGTGGTGAAGTGAAATAGCCTCTTTACCGCCTCATCGTGGGTGGGAGGTGTTCCTGGGTGTCGGACTGCGACGTAGAGCGAGCATTCCTCTCCCGGTAGTGTCTCCCAAGCTAAGAAGGAGTCTGGCGTTTGCATCAGGAAGCCCAGCTAAGAGTAAACCAATACTAGGATCCGCCACCGTCCTGGTGTCAAAGTCGCATGGTGGCAAATTTCCCTCTGATCCACAAGGACTGCGACTGCCTGTGGTGGTGACAACCTGGGGCAGACTTTGGCCAGCCTGTCTTTAAGATTCCAGAAAACCACAATGGTTTAACCAGCAAATCTCCGAAAAAATGGTGATTATGCTGGGGTCCGCGCCACCATTGAGGACGGGGCGTTCAAGTGTCAAGTGTGAAGTGAGATAGAGGGCGCGTGTAGGGCAGCAGTTAGATGTGCCCTGCAACGCATTTGGTTCGGTCTCACTTCCAGGCTCATTGATCATTCCGTTTCTCCGGGATTTGCCAACAGGTACCTAGTTTTTCTAGAAAGATAGCAACACGGAACTGATAGATCCGTAGGCCTTTGCGAGT